AAAAAAAAAAAAAAAAAAAAAAAAAAAAACCCAATCCACGGAAACTGGAACAAATAACTGAGCGCCAAAATATTCAAAATGGAAAATAATCGAGAGATGATTAAACTTATGATGTTTGTGTCAGAGTGTAAATCTGTAATCCTGCATTCTGGTGACTCAGGATCATTTCAGATAACATTAGCCACCACCTAATGGACCAAGCTTGAAGGAACCACCAAGCTGTCCCATCCCCTCTATACCTCAAAGTGCACAGCGCTCTGACGGCTTCACGCCATCGCAAAGGGCCGTCACCCCTGGCCAGGCAGCCCCTCAAGACCTCCTAGTCTAGTTGAGGGGGGATATTTAAACTCAGACTGAAACAGCAGCCCACAGGTTCTGAGAAAAAGGTGATGGAAAACAAAATGGCAACAGTGGAAACGATTAGTGTTGCAGCTTGTCCTGTTTAATTATGCCAACAACGCTCTATCTGCAAGACACGCTCACTACTGCTCTGAGTGTGAAATTCAGCAAATTTATAACCAAAGTGCCTTGCTAATTAAGTCTAAAACAAAAGATTTCAACTCTTCTTAAACATTTGAAATACTATAGATCACATTAAAAAAGACTATGACAACTCTTATTTCCAAAATTATACTTTTACTTTTAATATGATGCTAACTCATAGGAAGCAACAATTGACTTCAAAAATACAAACTATCTTTCTATAACAACAAAATTCTCTACAACTAAGAAAGTTCTGGGAGAGCAGTAAAGCTGTCGAGAGGTCCACCTTATGGAAAATAGTGCAGAAGATTGAGTTTCAAAACTTATCTGTCTAAAGGTGAAGTAAACAGATCTTGGAAAATATAGCACTGAAGTTAACCTAATACAAAGAAAAAACCCAATCCTGGGATGGGGATTTAGCTCAGAGGCATAGCACCTGCCTGGCAAGTGCAAGGTCCTGAGTTCGATCCCCGGTAAGAAAGAAGAAAGGAAGGAAGGAAGGAAAGAGAGAGAGAGAGAGAGAGAGAACCCAATCTACATACTGGAGATATTTCTTCATAACATAGTTTAATCAATGATCAAAGCAAGCATCTCTTCAGAATTCAAATTAAATATTTAGACTCTTTTACTAATTCTAAATAATGAACTAAATAACTGTCAAAAGTATTAAATCACAAACTAAATTTAAACTGTATAATATTGAATCACCTTACATCCAAATTTGAATTTACTAATGATCGAAAATGCATTAAAAAGGAAATATTGGGCTGGGGATTTAGCTCAGTGGTTCCACTGCCTGTCTTGCAAGCACAAGGACTGAATTTCCATCCCCGGTACCAAAAAAATTTAAAAATTTTTTGAAAAGGAGATATACTAAGAACTTTGTAGAAGCTGCCCCCTTTTTTGAGCTAACATTGCAATTACTAATAAAGTTTCAATCTTACGCTTTTATCTGATGTGTGAATATCTATATTTCCATAAACTGTTCCCATACAGATCACTTTGCCTCCTTTGGTTTGAACATGTAATTTTTGGCTCTGAAAAACAAATACAAAAATATATGTTGAGAAAAAGAATGTTTGACTTATACTTTCAATATTTTAATGATAATAAAACAGCAAAAGAAGAGTCAGGAATTCAATAAAAATCTACTGTTTGGAATCATAACATCAGCTGGAAAGAAATGTCAATTGCTGTTAAAGGGATAAATAACCTGTACCCAAATGGAAAAACAGGATATCTGAATATTCTCATAGCTTCACAGGAGGGCTTGGAGTCCAAGACCACCATGAGCAGCTCTATAAACACCAATGATAATGAAGATGACAATTACTGATCACTGCTACCATTCATCACTAGTAATAATAATAATTGTTATCACTTGGCAGTTTCTTTCACCAGAGACAATGTCATCTACTTTACCTGAAATAGATCATTTGATTCCCACCACAACCCAAAGACATGTTAGCCAAGACTCAGAAATGTTAAATAACTATCAGGGTGACAGTTAGAAACAACAAAATCTAAACTAAAAATCAAAATCTAGCCCTGTATCCTTCTAAAGCCTACACTCTGTGTATTTGTTTTTTGAGTTACTGGGGATTGAAGCTAGGCCTTTCACACAGAGCTACATCCCCCTGTCCACTTTTTACTTTTTGACACAGCATCTCAAGTCACTAAACTGCTCCGGCTGGGTTCAAACTTGGTACCCTCGGGCCTTAGCCCCACAGAATGCTGAAATTATGGGTGTGCCTCACTGGGCCTGGCTCAGCGCCTCCACTCCGAAGACTCAGGTCTTCTGAAAGAGGACATATTTTTACGTAGGCCACAGCCCTGTTATACCGTGTAGCACAACACCCCCAGAAACTAAAACTGAGAATGCCCCAAACCCAAACCGCAGTCACAGGCCAGTCAGCCTGCTTGACCGACCAAAAGCTGTGTACAACCTGATTTTACACTTGCGAGTGCGGCAGACACCACTACTAGGACACCGAAATCCGTCTTTCTGGAGTGAACAGAGTGAGACCCTCTCCTAGCGGCCGGTGCTCCCAGGTGCTGCTGTGCTTTTCTAACAGGACGGACGTGGGGGTGCCCTGCGCGGTCCGGCTGGTGCTCACAGGGAAGGGGCGCCTCCCCTGTCCCAGCCCCCCAGGGGAGGAGCACAGCTTACAGCGAGGCTGAGAGGGGGCGGACCAGAGGTGGCAGGGACCTAGAAGCACTGCGTGGAAGATAGCTCGACCTGTGTCTCACCCGGACACAGGCGAGGGACTGGGATGGTACAGGAGTCCTGAGATGTCTCGTCTGTTCTGACGCGGCTGACGTTCCCTTCACCACGCACATCTTCAGTGCTGCTGTAATTACAAGAGATAAAGAATGGGGAACCGCAGAGGCTGAGAAACAGCCTGGCACACTCGCCCGCAGTGTGATCAGCCACTGGGAAGAAAGGTCTGATGCGGGAGGCAGGCAATCAGAAGAACCACGCGGTTTCTGGTTGCTTTACGGAGGGAGGGAAATGATAGACGTTCAGGCAAAATAGCCCAGGAATCAATTTCAAAAACCCTTTATGAGAAGAGCAAAATGAATTGCTTTTTGAAAGGACTGTTCTTAAAAGGATTTTAACTCGAGCCTAAAGTCGTTATATTTAATATACAAGTCTTTTTCCCAAAGCAACTATTGCTTCAAATCAATTATTCTTACATGAATTTCTAGTCTATGAAAGAGGATATTGCAACCAAATACATGTGTATTTCTTCTAAGGACACAAGCATAAAATTTTTCAAGAGGCTCAAAAAAATTGAGCTTGAAAAATTGAAAGTTCAACTAATTCCCAAAAGATGTGACAATTTTAAAAATAAATGAGACCAAAGAGTGAAAATAAATATTTACATAAGTCAGAAGTTATTTAGAAAAGGAAATTACACCTACATTTAAAAAATGCAAACATGTGGCATTCAATGAACTAATGATCCACTGTCTCACAGTTCACTTATCTGTTCCCTAAAGATGCTGGGAAAATGTGGTGCTAATCAGTTTGCTTGGTGAGAGCACGTGCCTGGTGACCAGAAACACCCAGCTCAGATTTTTAGCTGTGAACTCAAGTGAGTTCCTCAGTCTCTTACTGCCCTCTAGTTTCTTCCTTGATAAAATGAAGATACTTCAAGGATTAGAGATAAGATTCTTATAATAAGAATAAGGAGTCATCAACAACAACTGCAATACATTTTATTATATAGGCCAACTCTGTACAGTTTAAGAGCTTAAAATACATGAAAGAGAAACTACTTAACAGGTGGCTACTAATTCAAGATGATACTATAGCAATATTTAAAGCTTAAACCAGATATTTTACCAAAGTATTCTTATTTGTTCATTTAAGTCAATCAAATTCTAAGATCTCAAGAATTATTCTCATAACTCTAAGTACACCATTAACATGCATAGGCTCAGTTTAGTTCTTGAATTTCTTTTTTTTTTTTTAGCTATTTTATTTATAAGGAGTGATATTTCCTGAATTTTATTATTTATCAGTCTTCTAAAGAACATGTAGAAAATTGACTTTTTTTAAATAATAGAATTAAACTCACTCTTATCTTTAAATTACTGTAGTGGTCCACTGAAGTCTTTTAGAAATCTAAAATACATTATGGAGGGCTGGCGATGTAGCTCAGTGGTTCCACCACCTACCTTGCAAGCTCAAGGTCCCAAGTTCGAGCCCCAGTACCAAAAACAAAACAAAACAAAACAACAACAACAACAAAAACCCACCCCCCCAAAATAAATACATAAATAAAATATATTATGGAATCGTATTCTTTTGTTTTGTTTTGACAGGGTCTCACTATGTAGTTGAGACTGACCTGGAACTCACTATGTAGCCCAGGATGGTCTTGAACTCACAGCAATCCTCCTGACTCAGCCTCCCGAGTGCTGAGATTATAGGCATGCGCCACCATGCCCGGCCTGGAATAGTACTCCTATTTTTCATATGTCTTATACCACTTTGCTATTTTATTCCGAGGAGTTATTTCATAGTTATCAATTATTCTCAACTGTGTTAAAAAAATAAATGATAGACTTGCTTAGGACAGAGACTCTCAACTGGAGGAGATTCTGTCTGCCCAAGGACACTGGGGTCAGTTTAGTTTCCACAACTGAGGAGTACTCTAGTAGCATCTGTAAGGCAGAGGCCAGTGATGGTGCTGACCCTTCCTACACTGCACAGGACAGTGCCCCACCACACCCCCAAAGGAGATTATCTGGCCCCAAAATGTCAATTGTGTCAATACTGAAAAACCATGTTTTATTTTTATACCCATAATGGCAAAAAGAAGTTAACAAAGAGCTTTCAGAATTATTAGATGAATAAAAAAGGATGCAAAGAAATAGCAGCATTCCAGATTCAATTTTAAGTGTGAAGTTGGAAATCTTGCATTCTGAGTCTGCAGAGGACAATATTCTAGATTAATTCTCTGAACCCTGAGCATCAGTGAGTGAGATATTCAGAGACGGACAAAAAGGCACCGTAGTATTTCCATCCAGTTAGTCATGACAAGAACCCAGACCAACCCATTTTATAAAACCATGTGTGAAGGCATTCTTAATCTTTTATGATACTTATGCAATTAAATTTATTTAAAATGGCTGATATGTGGACAGATGCTGAAAGTATGTGTGCATATAAACATGGATAAAATCTAATAATTTAAAACATCAAATTAGTCATTCTAGTCAGTGTTTATAAATATAAAAATGAAAATATTTTCCAATAATGAAGCAAAAATGACCAGCTTCTCTTCAACAAATTAGCTGCTATCAAAGTTTGCAGAAGTACGGCATATTGATCATGGAAATGCTAGAGGAACTAGGAGTAACACCAGCTACCTGTCAGCCTATCAGTGAGCTATTTCAAACCACTTACAGCTAAGGCCACCCTAATTTTAAGGAAACAAAATATAAAAATGTTAATTCTAAAACAAGATGAACCATCTGTTGTTTTGCATAAATAGTTTCTCAGTCCTAAAATAGAGGTATTAGTCTATTAAAATATGATTAAAGTAACCTAATATTTTAAGCAGTTATAGGATATAAAAAGTTTTCCTTACTCTTTAATACATAAAGTGATTTAATAAATCATTGTGAAAACTAAAATTTCTTTGACTTACTAAGATCTCAGAATACTAAGAATATACTCTGAGTTTCACTGTACCCTACAAAATGAAATCTAAAAGAGATATGAGGCAAAAACTTTAAAGCTCCTTTGACATCTGTACTTTCAAAACAGAACTAAAGCCAGAAAAAAATTTCTGCAAAGAATTTCTTACAGATGAATGCATGATAACATTCAGAAAAAGTAGCATAACCTCTTTAGTTTATATAACTTAATACTAAAGTTCATAGTTTGAGTTTTTTAATTAAAATAAAATTGGAAAAATACTCATACCTTAATAGATTGTAAGATACTGATGCCCTGCTCAATTTCAATTTTGCAATCATCACACTCCATATTTTGGACTTTAACACAGCTAGACCCTGATGACTTGATATTCAAATCTAGAAGTATAAAAAAGAAAAATAAGTTAGCACTCTAAAGCATTTTCATGTCCCCTAGAAACCCAACTCCTCAGTTTGCCCATAATATCACTGAATCCTGGAGAGAACATATTTGTCAACAATCTCTCTCTAAAAATGAGGTCTCGCCAGGTGTGTTGGTGCACACCTGTAATCCCAGCATTTGGGAGGCTGAGGCAGGAGGATCGCTGTGAATTCAAGACCAGACTGGGCTACATAGTGAGTTCCAGGTCAGTCTCAACTACATAGTGAGACCCCATCTCAACAAACCAAAAAATAAAAATAAATAAATAAAAGTGAGGTCTCCACCATAGACAGGATCAAATGCAATGACCTTCCTGCCAGTTTTTACCAAAAATTATTTTGGTCTGTATCATCTACAGAGAAAACCAGGAAGTAAAAGAGGCAAGAGATTGCAATTCTTCTATGTATGCATGTTGCCAGGTCATAGAAGCCTCTTTTCTACCTAGAAAACAACAACAAACACACACACACACACACACACACACACACACACACACACACATATAAGAACACAGTTGATGAGTCATTGTGATAAATCAGGTAAGGCAGGCAATCTAGTGTCTCATAGTTGGGAAGATTTAAAGATTTGTTTTCGAACCTTCCCCAAATTAAAAGCATACACAGGAAAAGCATGGGTCAGTATATAACAAGACTTAGGGGCTTAAATCCTACCTCTAACCTTCCATGCCTAAGAAAATGAGAATATTGCTAAGCAGCTATATCATCGGGTACTTGAGTTAACTTTAAAAAATGAGGTCCACTCTGACAAACCTAATACTGAACAGTATTTAAATCGTAAGATTGTGGATAAATAAGAAATGTATCTGAAGAAAGTCAGGAAAATAAGGAATCACAGGTGCCATCTTTGGCTCTCAATTTAAGATGCAAACTTAGGAATCTCTGTATCAAAATAATTGAAAACACTGATTAATACTTAATTCACATATTGATTTCCCTTAAACTAGACTATGGAAATACATACTATGTTCCCCAAAACACAAGTATTGGGGCCTGTTGTCATAATTTCAAGAGTTATGGAATAAAAAATTCATTTCCATAGTTACATAGCAATCTCTGTAAAAGCTTAAAATAATAGTAATATTTTGGTTGAGATTAAGCAAGAATATGTAAAAAGACAATTTTATCCTATATAAACACGCATATAAATGTAACAGCAAAATTTACTTCCCAGTTAAGTAAATGTCACAACATGCTGCCAGATCTAAGGCAGCAGCAACAGATATGGAAAGAAGCAGATTCTAAAGATGCTTCTGTGAAACTAAATGCTTGAGCATTTGACCCTGTCTCAAAATAAAAAATAACAAAAGGGCCACGGATGTTGGCTCTATGCAAAGGCCCTAGCTTCGACTGAAGCTAGTACCTCAAAAATCAAACATGGTGTAGATTTTAGAATCATGAAGGGTTGAATTCTAATTGTTGGTTTAGATTTTGTTGTTTTCTAACTGTTTCACCCTGCTAAAACTATTTAACATTTAGAAGTTTCTTCTGTTTTACAGGTAGGGGGATATTCTCAATACTGCAACAGGTAATTACGTATTAAAATAAGTATTTTTAAAAATGAGTTATGCAGATTTAAGGGGCCTATTGAACAGATGCATGGAAACAGTAAATTGGAAATGGAGTTCCCGCTCTAGAAAGAAGCAACGAATAACATGGTTTGGAGTCACCAACAAAAGCAGTGCTCTTTTCAGCTTTGCTGCCAAACTTCACTTAGCTCTACCTCAGTACTCAGTAAACTTAGTCTTTAGGGGCAAATCCCCACCAGCGCCCCCAGCTGTTACAATGTGAGATCGCAGACTCTCATTCACCTGGCTGCCTACAAGAAGCTGAGAATACAGCACAGTGGTTGAGTAGATTCCAGTCCAAATCCCAGCTCCTCGCTTTATACCAGAGAGAGAAAGCATTTCTTAATCTACCCTCCCCTCGAATGTAAGTTCCATAAAGCCATGGACTTTTTTTCTGTTTGTTCATCCGCAATAAATATTTATGATACTTCCGAAAAATCTCAATTTCTTCATATGAAATGATGAAAATAATAGAATCTACTTTGCAGCGCAACTATAAGCATAAAAAGGATTATATTTAGTATTACTATGTATCATCAATGTGCCACCCTTCAGTCGTAGGAAGCATGAGACAGTGAGGAACCCTTTCTGGAAAAGCATGAACGCACAGTGACTTGCATCTGGGAACCAACACGGAACCCAAAAACCTAGGAAACGTCTTGCAGGCGTTATTAATGCAGTTTCTCAGGCAGTCTCACTGGATTTTTTCTTTAAAGCTCACTACTTCAGGAAAACTTGCCAAAGGGAAGGAAGACATACTTGTTCGAGGTTAGATATGACGGGTAGGTTAGGTACAGAGACAGCCCCTCGAAACAGAAGCAAGGGAAATGTAGGTGGGCTGCCATGCCATTGAGTGTATTATGAAGAAACCTCAACTCGGAAGAACAATTCTGCAAATGATAATGCCGCAAAGGAGAACATCAACGGCTCCAAAATATTATTTGATATGGATTATTCCAGATCATGTTTGCATTTGATTTTAAACTTTCCTCTTAATTGGCAACATCATATATCTAGGTATTACTCAGAAACTAACTGAAAAGAAGAAAAAAAAAAAAAAGGTGGCCACCAAGGAGGTCAACTGTAACTGAGATTTGAAAGTTAGGTCCAAAGAGACCAATGAAAAGTGCATGTGGGCCTGTCTGCCGCATTGAAGGAGCTCTCGTGTCCTGGGACCCACTTCACTCACCAAACTTCAGGGGCGCGTCCACCTCCACCGAGGCGTGGAGGTCCAGGCTGTCGGCCTCGACGGCTGTCTCTCGCGACGCCGCGTCGTATGTCACCTGCAGGCCGTCCAGGCCCCGCAGCCCGCCCTCTGCGTCGTGCGCAGCTACCAGCACGCGGTCACCGTCGGGGTAGGACAGGGGGTCCAGACCCCTCACGGCCACATGGCATGGAAGCCGGACCCGCAGCCGC